AACTCAAACAAATACAAAAGCCATTCCTCACAATTTAGAAAAGAGAAAGTCTTAACTCTGTAATCTTCATCCTTGGTCTAAGTTAGATGGGACACAACATAGAATATAAGCTTTTGTAGGGAGAAATATTGACAAAATCAGGATGACACAGAATGTCTAACAGAACCTAAACTGAGAAGAGGGCATAAGCAAGAAAAGTATTTTATTCATATAACATAAAGCACGAAAACACAAAAAAAGTATTTTTTTCACTTGAACACTTTAGTATCTTGGTGCAAACATCTAGCTGTTGACACTTTGCTTATGTGTGATAGCTGTTCTTCACAAGATATGAACCAGCCAAAAGTTTTCCTAAAGTCTTGAGTATATGTGATGTTACCTTCAACACAAAAAGAACCAGTAGCATACCATTCATTAGGGTTCTCCCCCGAATGAACACTGTGTGACAATCTAGGAGATCATTTATGAGGACTGGCAAAAGAATACTGAAATGTCCTATATCATACTCTGTTATGAAGTCATGCATGACTTACCCCAAGACCCCTCTTAAGCTGCTCTGTAAAGAGTATGTATGGGCATCAGTGTGAATTATACATAAGACAGACTCATGCAAAATAAGAATCAGGCCTTTAACATAAAATAGGTGTGCCCTCTCTTGGCAAGTCATTGGGGCAAGCCTACCCATAATGCACTTGCAGCTAAATAAATATCAGCAGCCTGAATCTCCTCTTCCATGCATCTTCTCCACTCCCCCAAAGGAATTTTTTCTCATAAGGGATTAGTTACTGAATACTGCACACAAACTCCTCGCAATTTCCAGTCAGGCTTGGGATAATTATACCTTCTATAATCCAGAATCCACTACTTAGCTGATAAATTAGTGTGCTTTTTACAAAGGAGGAATACTCATGTTACAGTTTGTAATAAACCAGAAAACTAACCCCAAGAAAAAAGAAATTAACAAAAGGAAGTAAGGACAAATCAGCAATGCAGTGACATAAACAGAATTAAGAGAGAACACTTTCAACCAAATCAGGTTTCATATAACTTTAAAAAAAGAAAACCCTATGCTACTAGTAATTTTTGAAATTATTGACAGGTTGGTCAAAGCTGCTGCTGCACTATGGAGGTTGTTTTAGGTCCAGCAATGTCAAACAGAAGACCAAAATATAAAAATAATTTCTTTTTTTCTTTTTTCTTTTTTTTTTTTAATAGAGTTTTTACAAACTGCTGTTTACACAGTAAGTATAAATAAATGCCTGGTCTAAAAACTCAGATGTTCCTCTGGGCCAAAAAATGCCAGACTCATGCAAAACCCTCTGGTTTGGGGAACAGACCTTGGGATTCTCTGGGATGTAGTATACGCAAAATTCTCGTTCTTTCTAAATCCCAGCACTCCTTCTTATTTCATAGCACTGTATATTCTGAAGTGGCTGGACTTCTGGACATTTTTATCTTAATCCTACTTAAAAAGCTTATGAATGAGAACATCAGAAAATGGAGGTGAATCCTGTATTCCTCAGCTAAAACACCTACCGAATCCACAGAGAGCTTTGCTGGGTGGAGGACTAAGCAAGAACTGATGTGCTTCTAATATGATAATTAGTGACTGAGGTAAGGTGCATGTCTGCATTTACTAAAATTAAGAAAAACTCACATAGGAAAGTGTGCCCATATTGTGTAACAGTACTTGACCTATAATATTCCATTTTTACCAGATAACCATAGTTTTTGTTTCTTGCCACACATCCTTCTTGCTTTGTCCCATTAACTGTTACAAGTCCTGTAAAACATTTGCTGCTCATTCACTGTCACCTTGTTCTGTTCCACCTTGCTGTAAGAGCAGTCAATGGCAAACCTTTGCTGACCTCGAAAGGCGCAGGATTTGTCCTGAGATGCCTAATCCAAAGCGGGACTCCCTCTTAATTCAGTAAGCTTTGGATCAGACCTAGAAGGGATCTTAGCAGAGTCAAGAAGTGGCAAGACACAGTCACATATCAAAACCACATCCGAGTGTTTATCTCACATTCCTAATCTTTGATGTGAAAGGGATTAAAAAGCAAGCTGTTCCTGTCAATTGCTTGGATACTACACAGGCTCTGAATGACTGAACAGACATAGAAGGATAGCTATGCACATTGATATGGTTTCATTTTTTTCTACAGAAGTTTGAAATGGAGCTAGTATTGGAATTTGAGTATTTGAATATTTCCTCGCATGGTTCCAAACTTCCCACTGTCAAAATGCCACCATCCTTTCCGCTCCTACAGAGGAAAGAAGATGGTTGTGCCTCTTATTTCAGGACTAACTTGCAACTTATTTGACTGAACAAAAGATGAGAAATCTGAAAGTGATGTTATGCAAACACTCCAAATACAACCTTGCCACAAAAACTAACACAGTCCGTGATGGCTCCAGACTGTTTCAAAGTACATCCAACTGATTTAAGCATATTTTGGTTTATGTTACCAAAGTTTGAATGTATTGTGATGGGGGTTTTTCTCCTCTATGTCATTCAGACAAGTTTCTACAGCTGTCTGAGATGCCATAGGTGTATCTGACTATAATTTTGGCTCATATGCATATTTACAGACTGAAGGTCACTAGAAAGAGAAACTGAGTGCAAATATTATGGTGACTTCTAGCTACCAGAACCACAGAAAAACCACATTAAATGGCATTAACTTAGGCAGAAGACAATAGAAATAACAAAAACCATTACAACATATATACGAGTGCAATGTGAAACTCCCTGTAGGAAGAAAGGATAGATCTATAACATTCAATCAAACTAGGAGATGAGGGAAAAGGGAAATAAAATGGTAAAAAATAATTATTTAGGCATCCTGGGAAATTAAAGAAAGGGCCATTTTCATCTGCAAAACCTGAGAAGAAATCTGGTCAGAATGCCCAAAGGGGAGTTTTCTTAAAAGGTCAAAGTTGGCCTAACTCCTTTTAAGGAAATTCATGATGGGGCACTGTTAAGTCATAAGAGTTTGGTCAAAAGCAAGCACTCAAGTTTAACTATCCTATATTTCTGACTTTAACCATCATATATTTCATGCAAAAGAATGAAAGCTAGTCACAGGCAAAGAACTGAAAAATCAGTATATTTGGTTTTTTTATTCATCTGGTTCATTTTACTGTGTTGACTCCTACCTAGAATTAAGAAAACACTAACTAAGCATATGTCTTAAGCCCTAGAGGCAACTGCCTTCATATATATATATATATGTAAAAATATATATATATTCATATATATATATATGAAAATATTTCACAAACAAATGTGCCTGCCGGGTGTCACAGAGGCAGCGTCCATGACCAGGCGATCTCCCAGGTCACACGCAGAATATTTCAGCTGCATGGCTCAGAAAGGAGATCCTCCCGCCCGCATCCAGGAGGACAGGTCTGTTACAGAACACATTGGTGATGTTTCAAGCTAAGCAGGACTGCAAAGCTGGTCCCTGAGTCCTGCAGGCAGTGCAGCAGCTGTGTCACAGAAGTGCTGGGGAGGCTGATGGATGTTAGCTTGTACCAGGGGATCACAGTGTGTAACACGGCTTCCCTGAACCCTTTCTGGCACAACTTATGCCCATCTGCTTCCCCTCTGCTCCTTCCCCGGGAGAGGAACATATGGCCCAGAACATGTATCTCGGAAGCAGAAAATATATTCATGTAGTTTTCTAAAATATTCTGAATACTTTCATTTTTCTTCTATAAGCTTTTATTCATTACGAATCCTATTATGGCAAAATAAATATTTTCTTTTTTTACAAAACTAAGTCCTTGCTTAAACTGTTAGGTAGTCCACAATGAAAAATTAAAATTAAAAAAATTGTGTATTGTGCTTCGATAGTAAGAAGTTGCTATTGCAAGAAAAATCTTTGCCAAAATTCTGCTTTTTGTCCATTGCACCATCATATTTTAATACTTACCTTAGTCCAAGAGCATTGCAACCAAAAACAAATCAGCAAATTCAGAAGAAAATAAAACCACAGTTAAGCTTACCATGAACATCTAAACATCAAACATTTTCGTTTTGAGTCATTCAAACCGGGGACAAGCTTCCACAATTTACCTCAATTAATTAGTGCCTCACATCACAAATAGAACAATTAAGTTCCTCAAAATGCAAGAAAATCTTCCTTTTAAATAGCAGTACCGACACCTGTGTGTGCAGTCCCACTTTCACAACACAGCTTAACTTTTCCACTGTATCAGCGAGACTTTAGCCAGCTTGCCTGTTTGAAGGCAGCAGTACTAGGACTCGGCTTCATTTGAATGTGTTCTCACTTCTGTCTGAATACATACAAATTTCACACATATATTTGTGTGTGTATAAGTGTGTGTATATATGTATAGAGGATATACTTGTTTATATACATGCACAGCATACAAATATATACAGGCATACATATAAATACATATATATGTGTGTATATATGCGCTTTAATATTTTTATACAGAACACACTAATTCTTGATTGCAAAAATGCAGCATAAGAGAAAACGTACTGCAATCCTTGCCCGGTGTAAAACCTTGCCAGAGCAGCTGTTGACGCTTTGATAATCTGCCCGGCACAACTTACGAAACACTGACACCACACCTATGCAGAGCCTGCAACAGGACAAGCAAACTGAAACTTATTATTTCTCATAACCAAATGTTTTTCTAACAAACAAGTAAACAGTGGTCTCTCTGGCTGTATTTTCATTTAATATGAAGTCATTAAGAATCACACAGATGCTTCTGATACCATTACAGCAAAAGCACAATACAGTAGTTGTCTAAAAACAACTGAACTCAGCAGGGTTTCTTCTGCTGATTTCAGTGGGTTTTAGGACAGATCTGCGTGCATTCACTTCATGATATGTATATTTTTAGATTCTTCTTTTCTCTGAATATTTTAGTGAAAGCTGTCAATTCCTCAAAGTCAGATGCACCGGTCACGAAACTATTTTCTACTGTCTTTGTGTTAAGCCTACTGTTCATCCTACCTTTGCTGCCACAGATGAGTTGGGTTTCTCCAGCAAGTCCCAAAGCTTCTTCCTTTTCTCTGGGCAGCAGGTATTATCAAACTCTTCCCCTTCTCTCTCTCGCATTGTCTCTGCCTCTCTCCTCAGTTCCTCATTCATCTGCTCTTTCTTTTGATGGTATCTTGCCTGGCAGCAAGATTCTAAATATATCTCATCAATCCCCCAGTAATCAAGTTCCTGACCAAAAGAAAGAGCACACATTTCTTCCATCATATGTAGTTTCCCTGTCCTGTAGAAATTCAAAATGGAAGTGAAAGCTCCTGGGTGTCGATCAAAAAAATATTCGTTTTCATTTAGATTATAGTCATCACATACTTCTAGCAGAGATTCATGGGTATTGCAGTCTCTGAGCTTTCCTAATCGTGTCCTTGGAAGTCTGTCCAAAGTCCTCCACAGCACTTCATGGTTGAGCCCACCAACATTTATTTTAACTCTCCGTGAGCAGGCTTTGCTCCTAATGATCTCCACTGGTTCTGGAGGGAGAGAAAGCGTAGACCTTGAAGACTTTTTGGTGATCCCTGGTGGAGCCTTCTCAGCCATTCCGAGAAAGATGAGGTTGTAACACGAGAGTCCTTGGTAGAACGAGCTTGGACACTACAAATATTTGGGCAGAGTCCTCTTCAGACAGACAGCTCCATTCCTGAAGCTAAAAAGACAAAAAATTAGAATATTGCTATGCACAATATATCCCCTAATATCTCTATCTCTCTTTGCACACTTTCATATGCAGATGAAAATTTAATGATAGCAATTTGCTCTGTCTATAATGATACTCTTTTGTGGTAATATACAGAAACACTGGTACAACTGGAACAGCTAAGAGCACTATGTTTAACCAAAGGAAAAACTCACTTGTATTTCTGCATTTGTGAGAACCAACTCTGACAATTTGTATAAAGGACTTGAGGGTTTGGTTTTTTGGTTTGGTTTGGTTTGTTTGTTTGTTTTTTAAATCAGTTTGTGATGCAACTATGTTAGCTTAATCTGATTCCTTGCCAGTTAACGTATGAGTATGCAAATGAAACAATTTTATTTTTTCATTTTCTTAATTTTTTTTTCAATTTTCAATTTTATTTCTTTCAAAATTTATTGAAAAATTCAAATTTGGGAGATACCAAAACTGAATAAAGCAGTTGTAGCACACCAAAATCGCCAAAGTAAACTGCTTCCCTCCCTCTCCCAACTCAAATCTTGATTTGCTGTATTACTTCATGGGTAAACGTTACTCACCAAACTATTAAATTGTCATCCTGACAAATCAAATTTTCTAGCACCAGACAATGATTATTTCTTTACAAATAGGGCAGAGGAATCCCAACTCTTCTGTGTCCAACTGACCCAGTGATATATGTTATATAGTCAAGGGCTGTGCATACTGCTCTCTGGACACCCTCCCTAAGGCTCTTCTCTGCCCTTTTCACCTGTTAAATTGCTGCAGACAAGACTGCATGACAGCAATCAGCAACATCATTTTTATTAATCCACAAGTGCATCCTCACTCTCTGTGCCCAGTGCTGCAGTGAACTCTGAAGTGCAGCTGTTTGTCTCTAAATTTGGAGTATCAGTATCAAACAGGAAGGAAACCCACCCACCAGCTCTACTGTGGTCAACTGTCAGACCCAGTGTTTAAATAATAACCTAGCAATGGTATCATGGCCCACAGGGAGAATAGTAAGGATGCTTAGACAAGCTCCTGTTCCAAACTTGGAAAATCCTCCTTAGTTATTTCCCAGAGTGGACATCTCCTCCTCCTGTTCTCTGCAAATCAACAATTCAACAATTTGGGGGATTTTGTTTGTTCGTTTTCTTTGTTTCGTTTGAAATGAAATGAAATACGTCCAGTTTTAAAAAAGCATTTAATGCATACGAGAATTTGATCCTCTTTGCAGAGTAAGCATGAAGATTGTGATGGGAAGGATTGTTATCTAGAAATACACCAGAGTAAACACCTGTGAGGGAGAAGAACTATTTGTACTAAAGGACCGTGATGGCACAAGAATAAATGGCTACAAGTTCACCAAGAAATAAGGTAGAAATTTGGAAGAGAATTAGAAGGTCACAAAGACCAGGATCATCATCAAAGCAGTGAGGATGTACAATAATCCTTTACTACAAGCATCAGGAAAAACAAAGAATTATTTCAGTGTGTCATCAGACTTGCTTATGACAGTATTGACTAAGTTGCTGGCATAAAATTAAAATTGCTAAACCTCATTTTACCTAAACTTTAAAAGTTCCTCCACCAACAGATAAATTAACAGTAAGATTCAGCCACATACAATACAGGTATTAACAGACTACCATGTCCAAAAACATCAGGAAAGAGTAAAATTACTCATCAGAGTAATATTTAAATTTACAGATTTTCTTTTTTTTTTTTTGATAAGTGCATAAGCCAAATTATGGCAACAGCCCAGAGCACTGCCATTTTAGTTAGCAATTTCACTGTCAAGCTGAACCTACTTCAAAACCACAAGGGCGAAAATTTTCTGTCTCTTCCCATCCTGCATCCAGCACCACACTGTGAAGATCCCTCCTCATCTCCCAGTGCAACCCAAAGCACTTCTGTGCCTAACTACATAGGGGTTTAAACCTTCAGCATTTACATTCATTCACAAAAAATATAATCTGATACTTCCTCTTGTAAAGATAAATGTCCTACCAAAATCAAAGCCCTGGCATCAGTAAGTTTACACATCATATGTACCTTTCTGTTGTGTTTGTTTTGTGTTTTGCTTTTTAACTCTTGACCCTAGGCCGATTTTTCCCTGTGGTTTTACCCTCTTCCTCATTGCCTTATATGAAGGGGATGATGATGAGACTTCAGAGGAGGAGGGGACTCAAGTCTTCCCAAGATTTCCTCACTTAAGCATCTCTTAGTGGTCTGTGATGCATTTATCAGTCTTCTGACAAACAGACAGCCACACAAAGAGTAAGTATTTTTGAGAGGATAATTCTCTACAGAGGAAATATTTGCAAACTTTATTCTTTGAAAAAACTCCTTTTAGACTTTATTGTACAATGATGTTTCTCCTTTAAAGGTTGTCTTACATAAGAAAACACAAAAAATTAAGAAATTCATAGAGAGGTTCTGTCATTATCCATGAAATCAGTCAAGTCTTCAGGCAATTTCTAGAGAACTTCGCTAATTTATTCATTATTGTATCTCCGGGAATTATTCTTTCTTTTTTTTTTTTTTTAATAAAAATGTGTACCCTAATATTAGCAGTATTGAGTAAAAAACAGCAGAAATGAAACAGCTGATCTTAGGTTAACCATATCCTCATTTGTTTTTCTGATTGCAGAAACTAAAGATGCACGAGACTATGCACTGTTTTAGCTTGTGCAGTGTAGTTACCACCCATACTTGCTCAACAATGCAAAAATTATAGTGTCATGAAGACTGGTGCAAAGCTGATAAAACATTTTCTGGTTTGTCAGTATAATTATTGGTTGCAGCTTCCTACTTGAGGAAATGTGGGTTTTCTAAAAAGCTTCAAAAACCCAGTGGCCACACTAAAGTCAGCAGTGAAACACTGTTTAGTGTTGAGAAGGTGTTATGTACGTATGTATGTATGTACCAAGGGATGAACCAGAATTCACAACATGTAGCACTCTGAAAAGATAAAAAATAAAAAACATTTTCCCAAATGAAGAATCTTGAATCATAGGGGTGATTTTTGCCTTTTTTACAGAGCTCTGTCATAGAAATATATACAAGAAGCAGAGTATATAATCTTAAAAGAAATAAGTTCTTTTAAGCTTCCTAAGTGCTTTCTTCCCACCTTCATTTGTTCTTCACACTTTCTTTTGTTCTCTGATAATTTTTTAAAATTTCTTCCTGCACAGCTTTTCTGCAAACATGGTCTACAAAGTCTGTATTTAACTGTGCCTTTAATAAAAACATAGAATCTCCTGAGTTGAAAGGGACCCAAAGAGACCATCGAAGTCCAGCTCCTGGTCCTGCACAGGACAGCCTCAAGAATCACACCATGAGCCTGAGAGCGTTGTCCAAATGCTTCTTGAACTCTGTCAGGCTTGGTGCTGTGACCACTTCCCTGGGGAGCCTGTTCCAGAGCCCAACCACCCTCTGGGTGAAAAACCTTTCTTTTACTAATATCAAACTTAAATCTCCCCTGACACAACTTCAGGTCATTCCTTCAGGTCCTGTCCCTGGTCACCACAGAGAGGAGACCACTGCCTTCTCCTCTGCTTCCCCTCACGAGGAAACTGTAGATTGCAACGAGCCCTCCCATCAATCTCCTCCAGACTGAACAGACCCACAAGTGACCTCAGCTGCTCCTCATACAGCTTCCCCTCTGGACCACTCACTATCTTTGGTGAAGGCCTTCTTTGGACACTTTCTAATAGCTTTACATCCTTCTTATATTGTGGCACCCAAAACTGCACACAATATTCAAGGCTGAGACCACACCAGTGCAGAGCAGAGCAGGACAATCCCCTCCCTCGACTGGCTGGTGATGCTTTGCCTGATGCCCCCCAGGACATGGCTGGCCCTCCTGGCTGCCAGAGCACTGTTGACTCATATTCGATTTGCCCTCGACCAGGATCCCCAGGTCTCCTTCCACAGCACTGCTTACCAGCATCTCATTCCCTAGTCTGTATATACATCCAGGGTTGCCCCATCCCACATGGAAAATCTGGCACTTGACCTTGTTAAACTTCATATGGTGGGTGATTGCCCATCTCTCTAATTTGTCAAGGTCTCCCTGCAGGGCCTTCCGTCTTCGAGGGCGTCAAAAGACTCTCCCAATTTTGTATCATCTGCAAACTTGCTTAGTATCCCTTCAAGTCCTGCGTCCCAGTAGTTTATTAATATGTTTAAGAGAACTGAGCCAAAGACAGAGCCCTGCAGAGCCCCACTAGTGACCAGTCTCCAGCCTGATGTTACCCCAGTCACTATAACTCTTTGCACCCAACCCATGCGCTAGTTGCTCAGCCATCTCATGAGACATTTATCCCGCTGTGTGCTGGACATTTTATCCAGAAGGATACTGTGAGAGACAGTATCAAAAGATTTACTGAAATCCAAAAAGTTTACCTCAACAGGCTTCCCTTGATCAACTAGGTGGGTCACCTTGTCACAAAAGGAAATTATGTTGAAGCACTCTAACTACATAACATTTTTAATTTTTAAAATCCAAATTAGAAATTTAATACAAAATCACCGGTTCTTTCATTATTGCAAAATTATACAAGTGAGGTTACCTTTATAATTCATTAAATTACCTTTCTAGATTTTAGTTACTGTAACTAACTCAGACCACTACTACTTTTTTTCCTGAGAAGGCTTCAAATATTTTTCAGCTTAGTTTATTGCCTTAGCCTTTTGGCTGTATGCAACTCCACCATGCACCTTGTCCACCATGGGCTAGTGAGAAATGTAACCACCCCTTGGCAGGCAGGCAATGCCAGCCTGCTGCTCACCAGCACTCTTAGCAATTGGTAGAAAAAGACTCAAGTTCTACCCCCTTATATATAAGAGCAACTCCAGATAAACCCCATATTTTTTCGTGCAATAATAAAACTACTTTGTAGCAAAAATACGTGTAATACTGCATAAACCTCTTCAAATCAAAGACAATCCTTTGTGTTAAAGTGAAAACTTCAAAGGCTACTACTCAA